AGGAACATTTATACGTATAACCATGGCTGAAAGCCGTCTTTTGAATTCAGACTATAGGTTTTCATTTTGTACTATCCATGTCACTTCCGCAGGGCACCTATGATTATCTCCTACAGCATTCAACCTTTTTAGGTGTGTGTTTTTGAGTTCATCATCTGTGTTTGCTTGCTCCTTGAGCTAAGGGTGTTATAGCTCATATGAAAGACAGATCCAGCAAAAGCTTAGCCATTTATCTGGCTGCAAACACCTCAAAGCACTAAGAATTATCCTCCAAGCTCCACTAATGTTTGAGGATTCAAAATATAATTCATGGATCATTGGCATCAGATCAGAGAGTCAGTTTTACGAGTCTGTGAATCACAATGCTATTGAACACAGTACAATTATGGCAGGCGTTGTTTAGCTAGCTTTAACTGATTATGTCTTGTCTCAATGGCATTAGCAGCAAGAGTTGTTCGATGAAAGAGCCTTTGAATAGTGAGTTGTAAGTCAGGGCGCTGTGAAGGATTTATACATCGGAGGGCCGCCCTGGTCGGAGATGTCGATTCCATGTGTATGCATAGATTTCAGTCTGACCTCATGCTGTGCTGATGCAACTCCAGCTTATTTGAATGTCCCGTTCTAATGTATGAATGCTTTGAGTCCTACAATTCTAAAACACATTCTTGATAAGCACGGCCAAGTTCATAAATGTATGTTAACAGGTATAACTTGTAAAGTGTCTTTTGCCATTGACCTTATGGATTTCTACTTATTTTACTACTAAGGAGGTGTATTTCTGGTACATTACCTTCCCTAAAAGTGTTTTGTTGGCCTTATAGTCACTTTGAAAACCTTTCCCCTGCTGTTCAAACCAAAAAGAAAAAGTATTTGCTCATTAAATTCACTGTACAGCTGACTAATTGCACGACTGTCTGTTTGTTTTGCATGTGACTCAAATTCTGTAATTAAAACGTCTAGATGTGCTTCATTTCTTTGAAAGCACTTAATTAACTGAGATGTTATGGATGATTCGTTTCATGTTTTGATGGAGAGACAATGCTTCTAAAATTAAACTCATTTACTTGGTTGTAATTTAAATGAATGCAAAAGTGTGTAAACATTATCTGATGATCCCTCTGTCTTCCAAACTTGCCAATTAATTTAGTTTCTTTAATTACAGATGCATTTAAGTTTTTACATTTCATCAAAAATGTCTTATCTTTTTATCCTTTCGATGTTTTTTAGCTATATTTACATCTGAAATAGAGCTATGGGGGACATCTGGTACAATTGACGTATACATCTGGGTGGTTTAAGAGATGTGATGCAATCATGCAGTGGCAGTGTTTCCCACAGATCTGAAATATACATGGGGGGGGGGCGGGGTGGCGGCGGGGGGGTGGTTGAGGTGGTGGCGTGCTGGTGACGTGCAACAACATTAACAATTAACCTTTCACTGGTCGCTTGTTAGCAGACCTTTCACGCCATGGGCAGAGCGAAACAGGTACAGGCAGGGCCTCATAGTGATGCCCTATAGTTTTAAATGTACTACCCACCAAATAAACATATGGACATGGTTACTATTTAAAAAAAATAGGTAAATGTATTTAGGACCTATCCATGTGATTTTAAGTGGGGTGGACCTCCAAAATTCCTCTGGGGGGTCCGAGGGCATGCTCCTCCGGTAAGATTCTTTCAATTATTTTGGAGTTACATGCATCAAATCTGGTGCATTTGAGGGGATAAAATAAAGAGCTAGATCTATGGGAACACCTATATGAACATAACGTATACATTTCAATAATCATAAAAATCATGGCCAATTAACCCAATAACATCCCATTCCACATAATGAAAAAAACACTGAAACTTTGTTTATTTATTTATTTTTGGTTCATTTATAGTTGCGATTGTGTCTGTGCTCCTTGAATCAGCCTCTCCTGTCTCCCTCCTTTCCTCCTGCTCCTCTTTGAGGCAGCAGCAAAGACTGTATTTTAGCCCTCAACAAGTTTTAAAAGTTTATCTTGCCTTTTTCCACCTACTTAACTTTTTATTAGTATATTGCATATTTACCTCTATCTATTCACTCCACCCTCAAATGAAATCATGTGTTACATAAATGGTGACCAAACTGTTTGAGACTGTACTGAGAACTTAGACTAAGTTAAACTATCTAATAACACTCAGAGAGTCCTTTACCTCACCTGAGCTGAGTTATCCCGAGCTTGCGTGACACACAGAGACCAATCAAGGGGCTTTGATTTATGATCTGTATGACAGGCCATGTCGGACAGGCCACATCATGTAGGACAGCCAGTCACCCTCTGTGAGGCAGGCCACTTTAACAGGCCAGGCCATCGGGAAACCCCCCCGGTCCCCTACCCGATGGCCAGTCCGGGACTGGGTACAGGGAGGGCGAGAGCGAGGGATCATTGCCCACAAGTAAATCAATCGCAGATGGCGTCGTTGGTCCACGACGGAAAAAAAAAAAATTATTGAAAAAAAAAAACTAAATGGAAATATACTTTGGTCGAACCGTTAATATGTCTGGGTGGCCCGCCAAAAGTATAGCTATGTGTAGAACCTGGAGTGGCTATTTTTTTTGTAGAACATCTCCACTGAAATGTGTTCTCTTGCAAAGATGAAAAATCATTTAATATAATGTGGCCTAGTGGGCAATGCTTATATAAAGGTTAAGCTGTTACTAAAAGTGATCAATAATTACAATCCTTGTATGAGGATAATGAATCTCATCCAGAAGAATGATATACGTTTCCATCCCGACATCGAAATAACTTATTAATAAATTACTGACATACTCATTGAGTGAAATGGAAAAAATTTAGATAACTTAAAAGTCGCTTTTCCAATCAAATCCAATTACTCAATATTAAAACAATTTCTATGTTATGCCATTCTTCCAGCATGATAATATAAAATAAAGCTGTATACCAGCAAATGCCATTTCTGGCCGTTCTCACATATCTTTCTCCGTCGTTTCACGCTCTGACTCTGCAGTGGGGCAGATTAACTTGCTAAGATAAGAAGCCTTCCTTTGAGTGTCTTATTCACTTTGACACAGTCTCTTCAGCAAACCATTTGGTGTATTTTTGTAACGCACGTGCAGCTGAGAAAAATGACTGGCCCTTTCTTGGACCAGATTGGTGGACATTTCCCTAAATACTAAGTCCGCCTCGTCAGGTCTGAGGAGTATTCTTTATTTTTTCTGGTCTGCAAAATAAACATTGCAGCTGCCTACCAAGAAAAAACATAACACACATGCTTCAGAAAGCAGTAGCTAGAGACATATTTAAATAATACCCCTTTTGCTGTCAGGGATCATACTGTTTTTTGTTTTATTTTACAATAAAGTTTGCTGTCAAAATTACACTTATGGAAATAAGCTCCCAGCACCCCTTTTATCCTATGGTGTGCTTGCTTCAATGCATTTTTAGCAAGCCATTTGAGTTTTGGAAGGGGACAAAATGAAAATGGAGGATTGGAAATGAAATCCTCTTTTATCGTCACACACACACAGCGCCACACACTCCATCCTAGTATTAACAAGTCAGGGCGGCAGCTATTATTATTTCTATTTAAGATGTCAGTTTCTTTCCTGCCCTTTTCAACCACATTGAGCTGATGTTATAACGCCTCTCTGTTGTCACANAATTAATATTGGGAGTCGATTCCTTAGTTTGTTTAGTATCTGGCCATGTAATAAACGGGATAATGTGCAGCGAGGCTGTCATTATGGGGAAAAGTTTGGACAGTGAATATGTTAGCTGAAAATAGAATATCAATGAAGGCAGCTCTTTGGACCAATGGATGTGTGGGACAACGATCAATACGTCAACTGCAATGTTTATCTTGACGTGACCGGCACAGCTTTAGCTAATGCAAACAGATGTGGCTGCATACCTGCAATATGGAAGGCTCCTGGTATAACGTGTTAAACAATTTGCTTCAGTGTCTACTGCAGTAATGCAATCGACAAATAAAAGACATTTCAATCTAGGGAACAAAGCAGACAAATCTGTGCAACTCACTTTATCAACGTGGTTAAGCAAGAATCTAATATTAACAAAGAAGATCAAACACCATGTAAATGACTTTGGTAAGAAGACAAAATGCACGGTGGACATTTAGTGAATTTCTCTTTGGGCTCTCATATAAATGGAAATGTGCCTCTCAATGAAATGCGGAGGTGCATCAAAATGGAATATTAGATTAGAATAAATCCCAGTGTTGTGGGAAGGCAGAAAGTACCCTCTCTTTTTTGCGTGAGCGACTTATGTCAGAGCCCATTACAGGTTGCTGAGATTTCTCTGATCTCCAAATGATAGCAGCCATGCTTATCGGTGCCTCGGTAATACCGTGTATTGCCTTAATATCTCCCTGTTTACTCCCATAGCTGGTGACTGTCCTCTATTTAATATTCTCCTGAGCCAGACACGGAATAAGAAGAGCAATTTCCCTTCTGTTCTTTCCTCCTTTTATTTCCTTCGGCACAAAAAGCTTTGCTAAATAGAGCCTGCTTCTCACCATAATGCACCATATTTGAAACTGTAGCTTTCACTAATACATACTCTCCTATCTTCAAAATGACAACTAACATACATACATATGTTTTCAATTTGAAGACTTTGATGCTTCTTCGTATTTTTCAATATCTCTCTCTCTATATATATGCAAATATGTGATGGAAACATTCACATTGTCAAAATAAGTCATTGTAGTTTCAAGTTTTTTTATGAAGTGCCATCTTTCAGTGATTGAAATAAATGATTGGGTTTGGCTATTTTCCCATTTAGTTATTTGTTTTAGTATTGTTGTTCCTTATGTGTCTTTTAAGACCTCCGTATTCATCTATTAACTGCATGTTTTAGCAAAAAAAAGAAGTTTGTATTGCTCTTTTCTTAGATTGCTTTAATAACTGAAAACCACACACTCCACGCCTGCCTGTGTCTGATCCTGATTTAATCCTGCTCCTTTTCTGTATTCCTCTTCCTGTTCAGTGTCCAGGCCTGTGATTGGCAGGCTGTGCGCGGGTGAAGACCCCCCCTCGGCCGTTCAGCAGTGCTCCATCCCCTGCCAGCCCCTCTGCTTGCTCTCCCAGTGGTCCCCCTGGGGCACCTGCCTACATGACAACTGCAAAGAACCACAGGGGAAGAAAGGTATGATGGACTTAATTGAGTATGAGAGAGAACAAGCGTTTGCTTTTGAAAGGTTTGCAGAGCCACCTGTAGAAAATAGTAATTATATCTGGAACATGTTTTAAAACAGAGAATTACTAAAGTGGTGAGCACACGCCTCTGCAAAGGCTCATGCTGTAAACAGGCGCTTCTCAGATGGTCCCGTTTTCAGATAAGGGAAATCTTCCCGAGTATGTGTGCATTGAGTCGTAATGTGGATATGAGTCATAAACATGAACGCTACAACGTTTTTGTCCTGGCTTGAGGGGCGTTCATGTGACTTTTCCCAGTCTGTAAGTATTTTTTCGTGAATTTTCAGCCAGCACATGAATGCAACCCCCTATATCAACAAAAGTGAGACTATGTTTGTGTATCAGCCCCTTGATTTGTATCCATTACACATTTAAATGGGTTCTATCTTGGCTTATAACTCTCTTTCATGAATAAAAAAAAAATCAGGCCAGTATTTTTTCCTCTTCTCCTACTGACCAACAAATGTAACTAAAACCATATAATTATTGGCGGGAATTTATTATACTATTTTAGAAAGTAATTATAGTCTAGGTTTTCACAAATATCACTTCCTACAGTACCAACAAAGTCTGCTACAATTACCAGTTTGTACGATTATTTACCAATTACTGCTAAAATCAGTTATAATCAGATAGCTCATGTGCACATTGGAAAAAGCATAGCTGCTGTAGCATAATGTGACAATCCAACAAAAAAACGGTAATATTTTAAACGCCAACAAAAATGGATTCCAAGATGCATCATGCCTTCCAACCGTTTTCCATTAGCTGTTCTCTCCGAATCGTGTCTGACAGATGGACGGACAGAGGGATGGACAGAGGGATGGACACAGGCCATCCGAACGACAGATAGCTACTGTAGCTAACAAGCTGAGATGATTTTAAATGGACACTGATAATTTGCACAGATGGGCCAGTGGTGAAATCATAAGCACTCAGTTAAAACAGAATTAAAGTTGAGCTCTATTGCAGACACTATAGTAGATTTACCATCAGCTGTGCAGGGAATAATTGCAAGATGAGTACCTTCAATATGCTCAACAAGGGGCTTTGAACTAACATAGTTAAATGTTTTTAGCGTTACACCATGTTTTAATGTCTATACAATACATTGCAACAGTGAAACTAGAAGAAAGTACCGTATTGCTAGAGAGAAGGCGATTTTGTCAGAGCAGCAGAGAGAGGCAGTAAATGTTTGAATTGTAAATTGTTTGTTGATAAGAAGCTGGCTGAAAAGAAGCGTGCCCTGGAAGAAGACAGTACCGCTGCAGAAAGACAGAAAGAGAGCACACCTGTATTTCAGCTCTCAGTCCCAGGAGTGGTTAGAGGAGCTACAGCAGATAAGATGCCTCCTCTATGCCTGTGTGTGTGCTCAAGTATTCGGCGCGCCCGTGCTGTCAGAATGTTCTTGTCTTTTTTCACAGGTGAGCGAGTGTCATATCTGACTAGTTTCGAGAGGCATTGTGTGCATAGCGTAGTGTGTGTGTTTCAGCGGGTTGAGGAGCGGTTGGTGTGTTAGCGCTGTGCTAAAAGGGCGACGTGACCTCGCTCCTGCCATGAGTAAATGTGCATGAAAGCCCCCTGGGGAGCGATTGAAGTGTGGATTGTTCAGGTCAGTGCCCACACACCCTGACGCTGGATCTCTACGGGATGAGCCGGCGTCTCTCGCAGAAAGTGTCATTAATATATTTCCAAGAGTGGAAAAACCAGCATCTGCTGTTTCGCACAGGGCTCTCCTGTGGCACGGCATCTTTTGATGGCATTCATAAAGATCCACAGTCGATGGAGTATGAAACAAATAGAAAATCACTCGCACTGAGCTCGGTTGTCTGCGAAGCAATGAACAGTTATTGAGTAGTAGGGCGTTGTTATGATCCAAGTCGTTCGCCCGTAGTCCTTGAGCTGAAGGGAATTATTTGCGTCTATTGAATGTACACTCAGCCTTTATGTTTCACAACTTCAGAATAAACTCTGATCCGCCTCTAACCGACAGACCCACGGGAGTCCAGTGTTCAGGTAGAAGAGCCGACCAGCCAAGGTGCTTATGCAGCTGCTGCGTTGCTCCCCGGAAAATTACAAATTTAAATTGCCTCGCAGAAGCTTTTTGTGCTTTTCACATTTTTCCAACTTATCTTGGCCTATCACATTTTGCTGCTATGTGGGAACATGAATTGAGCACGGGAAATTGAAGAGAATTGTATTAATGCCTCTTCTAGAAGTCAGAGCATTTCTGAATAAAAGTATGCTGAAAGTCGCTGGATGGGCATTGCTTCCCTCAAGTTAAGCATGACCATGAAAGGTTTCAATTATTAAAATCCAAAGGGGCATTCCCACACCAAACTATTTTTTGCGGTTTATATCTGAGCAGCAATAAATGCTCTGGGCAATACTGCAATCAATACACACACTCTTTGCTCTGAGAGAGCAGCAGCGCCCGGATCGGACTCACACCAGTAGATGGTAATTTGCACAGTGGGCATCCCGGTGTCAGACAGATCCATCGGTAGAGGGAAATAATGTGGGACCTTTCTGCCATGTGTCGGAGCTGTGGTGAAATCAGCATTCCTCAACAAAAAAAAAATCTGCTGCTGCTCAAGTGATATAGATATATACTGGGTGAGCTGCTGCAGCATAGAGAAGACATTTTATACAATCATTATTCATCAACAAAGACTGAAGCTTAGTTGGTGATGGATACATTAGATTAGAGCATGAGGTGTCCACTCGGGAAGTCATTTTTTCACTAAGAACTATGTATTTCATGAACAATCCAGCTTTTTTAGCCAAGAAAGGAATTGTAAATGTAAATTTGATCTATATTTAGGGCAATTTAACATGAACTCCCCTTTAAGATCTCACTGACATTGTCATGATGGACACATGATCTGAAGTCAATCCTGCCTAGAAACTGCATAACAAAATATAACAGTAAACTAAACATAAAGTATGTTGTTAAAAATGTGCAAAATCTGCAGTTATTTCTATTTTGAATCCCCTTATTCGTATTTACTGAAGCCCTACTAGACTAAGGTGCTGTGCAACTGAAGTAGAAGTTAATTGACAGTTAAGTAAATAAGTATTTTTGGCACAACAAGTCTGGGAAGAAAGCAGAGAAAGTCATACCACTAGCTGCTGCACCTGATTTGTCACTGCCAGCTCCCTCAGGGGAAACTGTAAAAATCATTGGCACCTTTTATTAGACAAACACAGAGGGGGATAGACTTTACCCAGGTCCAATAAGAGATGTCAATGCTAGCCTTCTAATGTTTAGTTCACACAATGAAAACTATTTAGCGACAACACTAAAAATCGTTGTTGCAACTTATGCCATGCATGTCAGGTCACTTTACAGGAGCTCTGTTAAAGACCCAACAACATAATTCAGCAAAGCAGTATAAATACATTTGAATTGCCTCCCTCGTCTCCGGCTTGATTGTGGAACATGTTTGAGTATAATGGGCTAACAGCTGTTCCATTGTTTTGTGTTATGTTCGATTAAGCTAATTAAGTACTTATTTTTGAAGGTTTGTAGTCTGTGTCTGTTTAGAGGAAAATGAAAGTTTCAGGAACTAGCAAAAGTCAGATGCACTGATGCATAGTATGCTATATTCAACCAGTTTTCAGCTTCAGCATCAGTTTACAGTTTTTTTTAATTATCATCATTTAATCTATTAGTTTATCGAAATGTGCACATGTAACTTTGATCTACTGTAGAGGCCTTTGTTTAGACTTTCCCTAGTCTACCTGAATTGTTTTCCTAACGTTGCTTTGACTTTCCATAGAAACCTTGAAATGTCCTTTATGTTTTTCCATATAACTACAAACTGCACCATTTCTAAGACTCAAGTCTTTGCAAAGGCTAATTTCTGTCTTTCAACACAAAGCTAGTACACTTTCCAACTTTTATTTTTTAACTTAACATTTTGAAAAAAGGACTCTTTTTGTACCGGCACAAGGAGGAATCCTTTTTCCACTCGTGATCTATCTTGAGAAAATGCAAACCTTTTTCAAAGCAGCTTAAAAAAAAGCATTTATCTTTTTTTACCTCCCATCGTTTTGGGACACTAACATATTTTTCCTATCTCTTTTGCGAGCCCTTTAGAAATGGGCTGTTATGATGGACATTCCGTTGTTTAACCACTACAGAGACGATCAGTAGATGCCAGTGTGGAGCCTCAGCTGGCAGTCCCACATTTAGAAACAGAAGCAGTGGAAGCAGTAGTGAAAAGACAGTGAGACTCAGTAATTGGAGCGACAGGTGTCATTGTGAGCGACTTGCCAGTCACTGTAACTTGACCCCAATCACTTGCACTTTCCAGGTATCTTTTTTAACCACCTTCTCCTTAGCCATGCCGGTTTGCTCATTATCTCCCTCACTTCGCATTTCCTCTCTTCTCTCTCGGGAAAAGAATCCAGGTGGAGATCTCTCCATTCAGTCATTCAATTAGTCCATCCAAGCCATGAAATCCGTACTCTGTATTTATGTTTCTTCATTAAAAACTAAGATACAATGTGTTTTTAAGGTTTAATTCAAAAGTATAGGTATGTTTTGTGTTTGTTTTTTTGTGTTGAACGTGGGATAAGGAAAGGTTATACATATGTGCTGTTGAAATCTTTTAAACACATTTTTAAACAAACAGCATCTGTTGCAGCAAAAAAACATGAACAAAATGTGTTAAAACTGTCACACTAATTTACATGTGGTCATTTCAAGTCAGAAGTAAATGTTGTTAATATTAGAATATATTGCATGAATCCTAGCAACTTAAAAAGAGGCAAACAATTAAATATACTCTAATATGAGTTGCTTTTTCAGTTTTACCAGAAATGTGTCAATTGCACATGCCTGGTGAAGGACATTATTTTTAAAGGCACACTCTGGCACAGTAAATGGATGGGAATAAGAAAGATCACACATTTCCAACAACCAGCCAAGCCAAATTATTTCTAGCCCTTTTCCAATATGCTCTTTTTGGGTATATCAAAACTTTTAAAACAGCTTCATGAACTTACCATACATTTACAAAATCAATACAAGGCAAAACTGCATGAAATGTATTTTGAATTTCAATATGTTGCTTAATAATGCATGTGGAGGAAGTGGAAATGGATTTTAGTTTCACCCTATTCAGGCTGTGGACAGCTCCTGATGCTGAAACTGAGTCTAAGAAGTGCTACAGTACAACAAACATACAGTTTTGCTTTATACAAAAAAATAACACAAATCGATGGCGGCCTTGAGATGACTAACAAGGTACAAAAGAAGAAGGTCTTCAAACCTGTCTTCCCTCACACTCATGTTTTAATAATTTACTCAACATTTGCATGGTTATCACAGAGCTTATTTTAAAGAGGTGCTGAAGCTGACTATAGTATACATTATGGAACACCTAAATAATACAGACAGGTAAAGTCCACATCTAATACTGTTTTCTATTGATTCACTAAAAGGGGCTCTGTGTTCTTTGTATGAGACAATACTCACTGTTGCCTTGTTTTTTTGTACAGGAATACCAATTGCTTTTCTGACAATGTTTCCATGTTCTCTTCCTCCCTCACCCTCCTGTTCTCTGTCAGGTTTCAGACAGAGGAGGAGAGAGGTGTTGTGGGAGTCCAGCAGTCCTCCGGAGACCTGCCCTCATTTGGTGGAGTCCATCCCCTGTGAGGATCCCGCCTGCTACCTGTGGAAGGTCCACCAGGAAGAAAGATGTGTCCCCAATAACAGCTCCTGTGGTCCGGGATCTGCAGCCAGGAATGTGACCTGTATCAGCGCTGAAGGTAAAGATAACGATTTGTATCATAAAGAAATAGGTAACATAAAAATGGAAACCCTCACACTGAATAGTTTTTTAATGGTAGTTTAATGTGGCACTCTTTCAGCTAAAGCTAGCTATTTCCCTTAGTTTACAGTCTTTTGCAACGCTAAGCTAACCTAAACCAACCTAGGCTAACCACTTGGTATAAAAATAACAGAGAAATTAAAGTGTTATCAATCTTCTCTTACCTTCTCCGGCAGTGAAGATAATTTTCAAACCACATAAAATAAAAGTATTCCCTACACATTAAAAGGTCATCAATATTATCTGCTCAACTCTTAGCCATATGCCATTTGTTCGTATAGTCAAAATATTGTTCTACTGACGGACTACATTGATTTTTGTCACCCTCGGTTTTGATTAAATTATTAGTATTATAGATCCATGTTTGTTTCTGTCACTTTAAAAGGGTGATAACCACAGACTGCAACAGTATTTAGACTAGAGAAGTAAAATCATCAATGCTGTGGTAAAGGAACGTGAAGTTATCAGTAACACTGTCATGCATGTACTCTCAGGTATAATTTGATCCATTGTGCTCAGACGTATCCCCGCGTTGCGTGATAGGAACATCAGCGCTAACGAGGCCCGCAATATTCATGAGGGTCCATCACCGAGTTTATGGGCGCCGAAAACATTGGCCTGATTAAAAGTCAGAATCAGAGCTTCCTACCAGGCATTAATTGCTCATCTCCATAGATTATAAACCTAATTGCACTCTTTTTTGCCTCTGTTTTATTATTCTGTCACAATGGATCATGTGTATGTTTATCAGGAAGGCAGCGGAGGGTCCACATTTATTAGCAAACAGGAGAGTCTAATGAGTTTTGACAGGACAACCAAGAATTCAGGCTTTGGCGAGTTTGAGGCAAAGGCTTATGAAATTATCTGTAGTGGATTTATTGTTAGAGATTTTTGACAAGTTGTTTAATTTTGCTTCTTCAATTGGTTTATTAGACTCACCTTTCAAGCATGGCGAGTTATTTTCACATAAACGTCACATAGGTGTCAAGACTAGATTGTTAAGTAATGCAAGTTAAACGCTTACTTTGAAATATTGGTTACAGTTGGTTCTGTATCCTGTTAAACCCCAATTGAAGGAGTCCAATACAATTCCAAAACACTGTCATTACCTTGTTTTATTTCCATCCTTAAGATTTAATTTAAAAAATCATGCTTTTCATTTCTACTCAGACACTATACTTTGAGTTTATTTTAAAATATGAAATGGCTGTTTTGTATCATTTGATGAGTACATATTGTTGTAGAAATGAAGCATCTTGTTTGTTTTTACAGTTCCTCTAGTAGAATAAGACTTTAATGAGGAAAGATGTTTGCCCAGAAGCAGATCTCGTGTTGAGGATTTGACACTGCTAATGGTTTCAATTTATTATTTTCAAATAAAATGCACCATCTCCATGCCCATAACTCCTACTAAAGCCTAACAAGTATACTATTTTCCAAGTGTTTTCTTTACTAAAATCAATGATGAATCAGACTGTGACAAGTTGCTATGATTATTAATTTATCTCAGTGCGCACTTCTGATTATGGTCAAGATTTTATAAACATAGAATACGCCTTTAGTCACTCTTCTGTTTTCTGCTTGACATGTAACATCCGTAGACCTCTGAGAAAGCACTCTTTAATTGCTATCTGTCCCTACATCCAGACTCGACACAAAGCTCTCCCTTTCAGCCGTGCCACAACAAGAGATGATGCACAATTTGTCTTTGTTATACTGAAATGTTGGAATAAGGCAGAAATGCTTCGCTACTGCTAAAAGGTTCAAGGTTCTAAAAACACTTTTAAGGTCAGAGATTATTTAAAGCTGCAGAACAAAATATTCCCAATATCAACACAAAACAACCTTTATTATATATATATATATATAAAATATACATCTTACTGTATACTGTATCACTATAACATGGGTAGGGTGATGGCGATAAAGAATGCATCTAACGTTCCGCTGTTCATTATAATAAAAAAACAGAGTATTAAACAAACCATCATGCTCTTACTTTGAAAACCATGCGGAAATGTCGTCATCAGCAGGCCATCACGTGGTTTCCGAAAATAACCGAGTGACACGAGTAGATTTTAGCGGAGACCGGCGGAAAATATGTCTCAAAATTCCGTGTGTGTAAAAAGACGATCCACAAGCAGAAATGTGAGATCCGCGAGCAGAGATTTGAGATCCGCAAGCGCATTTTTGGTCGACAAGTACAAAATGGATTCACAAATGCCTGATCAAAAGTTGTAAATGTTAAAGAGATATTCAAAGATCTTTTTTTTTATTTGTAAAAATATTTAGCGTATTTGCAGATCCGTTTTACATTTGCAAATTTATTTGTGAGTTTGCAAATCTTTTAAAAGCATTTGTGGAAGGTGTTTTACATTTCCAAATCACATATTTACACACAAATTATTTTTATGTTCGCACAAATAATTATCAGACATATTTAAGCCCATAAACAGTTCTTTGGAAAGAGCAGTGGGAGTCTGGAGCTGCTCCGGCAGAGATGTGTAGACTGACAGTGGAGAGTAAAGTACCTGCATACACAGGCACTGTTGGCTGCTCGGCTTCAATCAATTTCACTTCCTAATGCTAAAAAGAAAAAGATGACAAGATGAGACAGGTGGAGAGGAGCGAGAGACAGGAGAGGAAGAAGTGACGTTCCTGCCATGATAAAAGGATTGTATACCATAATCTGATATGATGTCAGGAAGCATCTGTGATTTGTGTGCGTGTCAACATATTAGTATAGAAGCAGCTTGCCTTCTAATCCTACAAACAAATCAGCTGGCCTGTCTTTGTCTGAAGCTATGTTTGAGAGGAGTCACAGATGATTCAGCTGGAGTTCAGAGCTGTTTATGGATCAGAAGGGAAAGTTCTCTGGGAAGAATAAACAGAAAACAGAACCTGTTTGCAATCCAGCTCATGTAGGCTTGCCCTGTCTCTCAGAGGAAATCTCAAAATAAGTCAGTCGCTCTGTGTCCCGCATCTTCAGCCACAGCTTGTTCTCTTATTCACGTGAAGTCTGCTTTATGCTCCATTCATCCAGCGTGTGGAGTTTTAGATTGTAACCACTGGAGTAATTGTGTGGTCAAGAGTGGCTGAATATTTATTAGATTTAAAGTCAAAGTGTTTTAACATGGCCTTTAATGTATGCTTTTTATTTCATTGTGCTTGCTCACTGTGTTCTACTATGTCTTCCACTTCCTTTTAGATGAGTTGTAGTTGTTTTTAATTGCTCTATAAATAAAGCTAATTGTCTTAAATGATGGGACTCACCTTAGGTGTGTTCACACCGCAGTACTTTTCCCACTTTAGTTCCGATATAGTTCCGAAATGTTGCGTTCACACCATAGACTGGTTCACACCAAAAATGTGTTAATCAGGCGTTCTGGCGATTTACTCGGAAGGCTTCAGTAGAAGCTGCTGGGAGTCCTAGCAGCTTCTACTGAAGCCAGTCCCCAACTCCGGGGACTTCGGGTGGCAGTATATGCAGTGAAGTTGTTTGCGGCCTGCCAGTAAGCCCAAAGCAGAAGAAGAAGAAGTGACATCAGCGGCTTCATTTGCCTAATCCTCCCCCAGGGACTTATTCCGGTGTGAACGCGATCTGTACTTAGTTCATGAGGACTAAAGAGTTCTCATGAACTAAGTTCTGATGAACCTTTGTGGGAAAAGTACTGCGGTGTGAAAGCGCCTATTGGCTGTCCCCCCCACCAAACACAATGTGAAATGGTGAATTCTGAATGTTAGAATCCTTAACCAGGCACTTTGTTGTACATTTTCGCCTGCAATAAATATAAATGCACTCAGTTCTTCTCATGAATTGCTGAGGGCCGGCGCATGTGGAAAGGTCAGGCTTTTCTTGGCTGACAACAATTGTTCGCCGTCCTTTAGAAGGTGCCCCATTAGGACCACGCTTTTATGCCCTGAACATAAAAACTGCTGACCTTTTTCAATGGTTCAGCGTGTATTGAGTCACTTGGACCATGGGGTTCACAATGCTCCCAGTGGGCAGCCGCATTTGTTAGATATTTCATGAAGATATTCCAAAGAAAAACAAATGGTTAGCTGTGAAAATAATTTGTAGATGTGAACATATATTTATTTACACCAAAGTGGAATGGGCAGGAACCGTTTAAGCCTGTGAACTTCAATGAAAAGAGAGGCGCCAAAGAGATATTGAGTGTTTCCTCCACTTTACTCCTTGATTGAGTGAGCATTTATTTTCCAGTTTCTCAGCATAAAACTACTCTGCATTTCAAATCTTAAAAAACAACTTTTGAAGCTGTCAGGGAAAGTGTATGCCTTCGAAGGGGGAGAGACGGCACTTTCCCGACAAAGTTTATGTGATGGGGTTTAAAATATTATCTATGGCTGCTCAAGCAATCAGAAAATATCCTCTATCACTCACAGCCTGGCTTTTATTGCTCAGGAAATACATGAGGTAATTCCTAAAGCCCCTCAGGTATTGATGAAATTGTGTTATTTACTCTTTCAGATCTTTCGGCTCTCATTAAATGAGACTGTTATTATATTAATACAATGAGGGATTGTACTTTTGTTCTAATTATAAGGCTTTTAATATCCTTCTTTTGTTATTTTTCGTAGCTTAGTTGCTTTTTCTATTTCACTGCAATTGCATTTTCCAAATTATTTCAATATATTTTGCATAAACCTTGCAATATTCTTGTGAATACATACTTTTCAATGAGTCAAATGAAGCTGCATGTGCACATTAGCATTTGATTTGTCTTTTTACACAGGCAGGTTATTGAACACTCATGTTAAGAAAAACACAATTATCACCCTTATTCTCATATTAGCTAAGTGGCTAGGGAGTTGCCTCTCATGCTGTCTTTGACGATTGCTGCAAACTGCCATCAAATAATATGGCATCTCACACAGAGGCTAATGGGCGCTTTTTGTATTCCCTTAACGTTATTGGGCTGTAAACTACGTCAAAGAAAGAAAGAAAAAGTGCTGTGTTCGCCCGACCCGATGCATTTTCTGCCCTCAGGCTTGGTGAAGTTGTTTTGACAACTCCCACAGCTCCCACTCTGCACAGCCAACAGTAGAAGCCTGTCCCATTTCCCAGCACTAAGCACACACCACGGGGCATGCTGACTCCAACATATTGGGTGCACCTGTGACTGACAGCTGACATACATGAATGTTGGCCAATCTTCCCAAACATACTGAGGCTCTGACATTTGTAAACCCAACATCCCAGCAGCACTGAATGGTAACCATCAGCCTCAACTGGTCAATATTATTCGAGGAATATACTGTAGGAAAGCAGCACTAAACTTTGCTGTGAGACTGAACTTATATGATTGACAGGCGAAAACATAAATTAGTGACCCAGGCTACTTTGATGTCAGAGTCATTTTCTACAATTTCCCTATTTCACTGCCAGCTTTGTCTTAAAAAGTGATGTGATTATGAACTTTTAAGCAAAGGCGAGAATGTTTTTTACATCTACCTGAATATTAACAATGATGAAGATTAATTGGTAGGTGGGCGAGCAGAATGGGAATCATGTTGAAATTGCATGCAGTATTATATCTGAGTAAGAGCCCCAACTACAGATCCCAGTATTAATAATGCAAAAGGACCCCTGGGGCAGCCATCTATTTGCAGAGTCCTCCCCCCCCCACACACATGTAGTCTCACACACACACAAATACACCAGTTGTGTATAAGGAGTCATGTTTTCATTCCATTTTTCTTCAGGCACTGTTTCCAGGCAAGTCGTTTGTTAGTTTTGTTTGCTAACATATTCATTAGTCCTTTGTGACTCTCAAGCAGAACATTTGTTTAATAATTACTCATTTTTCCACTGTTGGCAATAATACATCTAAATAATTCCTTAAAAACAGCCTAGAGCATACGGAAACCTGACATATTTTCGCATGACATAACAGCGTTGCATATTCTTCTGCACATTTGTTTATGGAACACCAAAAGTATTATTATACATACAGTGTGTCAAAATAGCTTCCTATAATTTTGCCTCAGTAAGGAGGCTTAGCTGAACATAGGGTTTGTATTCTTGCACACCCCTTTGTGCACTATTGTGTGAGGCTCTGGCTGCCTTCTGCTCTTCTTCTGGCAATGCGTTTTGCTGAAACAATACATTCATTTAACAGTATTGTAGCGGCTATTTGGCTTAACAACTGCTACCGTATGTTTGCAAATGGGAGAAAGAGAACTAACCCATCGTGTTTTGTTCTGTATGCAGAGTATTAATTAAAAACAATTAAAATGGACATTTAATTTGCAGCTCATTCAGGGAATAGTGGCTATAGGAATCGTTTGTTTCTCATAGCTTTGAAACAAATAGGAGTCTATGTTTCCTGAATGATTTCACATGTAAAAAGCACACATTGAGTAGCCTTGGATATGCCATTGTCCAATGCACAAACATGTCATTGTGCTTTAAATAAAGTGTTTATGTTTGTCTCTTTTGTTTGTTTCTGCTATGACCTGAATTATGAAACGTGTTACTTGAGAGCTTATGTTACCCTCAGATGCTTTTTCTTAATATATTATTTTGATGTATTTTTTTAGAACCAGTATTTTTGAGCCGCATTGATTTGACAATTCATTATATAATACTGTGCTATATGTATTTGTATGGTATGAATTTGCAGCAAACAATTATTGTCAGAGTTACATAAATGGTAAAGTAAGGCTTCAATTATGATTATTTTTGGATATCCTGCCTGAAAATAATCGTTTCGACATCTCTGTTCTTAGCGTACACTTGGAAATATTCTTCAAGCATTCCTTGATAAAGGTTTCATTTAAGATTACATTTTCAAATTGGCAATTCCTATTACTCTCTTTTATGCTCACATTCAGGGGTCCATGCTTTATCCACCTGAAATAATAACCTGGTGGGAGCCATGCTGAGCAGAGACAATAGATTTGCCACAGCTAAAAATCTCACTTCCAGCTCAAAATAATTATGTAAAGTATCAGTCAAATTCATATTCAAGTGCAGCTGCCTCAGCTGGTGTAGTTGGAGATGTATAATTATAAAGATTATTCACTTCCGGAAATGTTCCATGTAATGTATTATTGTACTTTATAATACTTACTCCATCGTGTACTTCTGAAAAAGTCTCACTTCCACAAAATGCATCAGCTCTTCTGTTGTTATTCTTATGTCTACTTACTTACAAAAGGACTAATGCTTCCCACACAGTATCCTTTTGGGACTTCCCCACATCTTCAAGCAGACTAACATCTCTGGCTGTATACACACCAGTTACTTTGATGGCTGGACGTCTCTGACGCTTTAACTTCATGAGTGAAAGGTTTTCAAACTCCCCAAGGGAGTATTTCCCATCTGTCTGATGAGGCGACACCAGCGTTTGCTCTCTCCACTGCCCTCCTCTGCATCAAGGGTACTCGCTCAGAGAAGAAAGAAAAAAGAGAAATTGATGACAAATCTGCCCTGGGGTTGTTATTGTTAAACCATATAGCATGATGTAGTGGCACAGTTCATCCAAGTTAATGATACTGCAGTGTAGAAGCACAAAAACAATGCTTCTGCTGCTGCTGGCATTGTTTTGACATTAGGATGGCATCCATGCTTCTGAAATTGATCTGATTCTCTGTTGGGCAGAGAGAGACGGTCTAGAAATATGTTCAAGTCGGACAAAAATACAAGGGATGTTTTTGTTTTTTACCAAGGGAATTAATGTGGGAATATCTAATTTCAGTGTTTAATTAGACACTGAGAGAGTCATTATCACGGCAGTACAGTAAGGAGAAAATGCCCTGTCATTTCTGTAGCTGTTTCAATCCTGGAAGCTGTGATAAATATTTAATAGCATGAATGCAAGATGAAAGCTGAAGGATAGCTTTTAGAACTAGCTCAGAATACCAATTGGATGGCCTGATAATTTTCTTTAAACAAAATGAAGTTCTATTTTAGTTTGACACAATTTTCCTAACGCTCAAAAAGGATTCCTGCCTTAGTTTGATGTGAATGAAACGAAATGTGTTTCTTTTTAAAATTCTAAAAGGTTTTTGTACATCGCAAACCCTTGCAAAATAGAAGAAAAACTCATTATCACCACCACAAATAGTAATATCTGAGTCTTACACTTGTTACTAATAACAACCACCTAAGCCTCTTACACACCTGCATTATCATGTTTTCATATTTAGATTGTATTTAGATTAAGCCTGATTATGTTCACGCCTGGCATCAACATTGCTACAGTATCAACAATGAGATCCCATCATCATCTATTTCCATGCCACGACTGCACACCTCTCTCTTCACATTCGTCTATACCCTGACAGAAAATGGTAATCAACTGAAACCCTTGACAAGCAGAACATGTCAGAGAAGTGGTACTCTGTGTGAACTCCATTTACACTATATTTTTCAAGGTGTTAAGAATAAAATCGACCTCCTCTCTCAAGCTGTTTTGTGTATTTTGTTCACAATCCATTTGTCCATAGTTTTTTCATATGTAGGGCTTACATTGACATCAGTTTAATTTGATTTGCTTCCTGATTATTTGATTAATTGCTGGGTTTCTGAAATGTCAGACAGCCAAGCTCAAGAAGACATACTTGAATATCCTTTGTCAAATATTTTCAGTTTACAGAAACAAGACAAAATTCACATTTAAGAAGCTGGAATCAGATAATTTGTAGTCTTTTCCTTGAAAATGAACTCAAACTGATTATTATAGCTGATGATAATTAAGGAATTAACAACCAATCGATTCATCTTTGCAACTCAGTTTACATATGTATTTTAGGCAACTGTTATGTAGATTTTGACCTAGCCTTTTACATCTGTTATAATGTTACATTTTTTCTGTGGTTTTGATATAACCTTGCATCCTTTACCTGAATCAGGATGTGAAGCCTTTTCTGATTGCTGTCTGATAAGGCCAAGATGCATGTAGTGTAACTGGTCTAATCATGAATTATATGGAACCCATCTCAATTTCATCTATCTGTCTTCCTCAGGGGAGGATGTGCCCGTTGCTCACTGTGTAGACGACCACCCCCAACCAGCAGTGTCCTGCGACGTGGCCTGTCCTGCAGACTGTGTGGTTGGCCCCTGGTCGTCCTGGTTACCCTGCTCACACAGCTGTGCCACCAAGTCAGCCGAGGGTCGACAGAGCCGCACTCGCACTGTGCTTGCCATCCCAGGGAACGGTACTGCAACTTCTCCACAGTTTCTTTCAAACCCTTTTCCACCGGAAAAATACTAGACTTTAGGTGGGAGAGGAACACATTTTTACATGCCGTTTAGTAATTCTCAGTTACATTTAATATCTACACTACAGTTATACTGCTCATGGAAGATTAAACAGGATATTTGAGCACAACTTGGTTGACAAAACAGGTTTATTACTTAAGGGGAGCCCCATCAATTATTCACATCATTTTCTTTTTTTAAAGATATTTTTCAAGCCAAAGAACGTCTTAATTAGAGTTATAAGGGTGTAAGGGGGAGGAGGCCTGGGAGTCGAACTCGCATAATTGACAGCAGATATCGCAAATGGGACGCTAACTCTAAAATACAGCGGCCTACAATTCATGGGAAGTAATACTAATAAATTGCAGTTAATGATGTAATTGTAGGTTACATCTCCAACTGAACTGCCTGTGGTCATGTTGCATTATGGTTAACGTAGGCTGCAGATTTAGGCAGGAGTGCAATGCTAAATCAGGGGCATACTCTGTTTATTACCATCTGTGGTACAGATAATAGATTGCAGGATCCATGATAAATTGCCACTTGGAGGAGTCAAAACTAAGAAACCTAAAGTTCAACTTGGCAAACAAAAACTAAAAGTGAATTGAGCCAAAGAGTGCTTCACCAACACAGTGGGATTATTTGGGCTTTTATTTCTGTCGATTTAGACATTTTTCATCCTAAAAACATTTGAGTTGACCATCCATTATCCCAGGGTCTTTCTCTGGCCGGTATTTTTTTTGTACTTCAAACGTTGGCATCTTTGCAGCTAGCTGCTACCCATTAATCCCTGTAACCGAACCCTGTAACTATCTGCAGGAGCAGCTGATGAAAGAATCTTGCAGCTTAATCCGTGTTTCACACTGGGTTGTTTAATAGCATGTTGCTGGCTATCTGCTTGCTGGCGGAGGCATGTGTGTGTTTGTGTGAATGTTTGCTGTAATTTGGTTAGTATGCCTGCATGTTGCGTGTCAGTGTAGAAGAGCTGCTGGATAGGAAACAGACTGGAGGGGGCAGTTGGTTCAGTGACAAAGTCATCCTCGCCCCTTCTGTGAGTCACAGTTCACTTTAGTGCACTTACTCCTCTGCAGATGACACCTCTGATGCTACTCCTAGAGAACTGTCCCTTGTTTCAACTCTATGTAGATTGGACAGGTCCCAACCAAAGTGGTCCCAAGTATATTGTTAATAAATACCCCCCACCCAATGTGTACTTGTGGTCTTTGTGCTCACATTTACATGAATGTGTATGTGACACGTCAATATGTTAATCCTTTGGATGATGTGATCAGTTGATCATAAAACAATACTTTATTCCGCCCAATACGTACACATTAAAAAGAAGGGTGAGTTCTGAAATGACACATTAGGAGTTAAAAACCTGTGAAATAAAGCAAAAAGTAAACATTTTCAAACACATTAAATTACAAATGACTTATTTCCACAGTAAAGGACTGCTCAATTACCACATATTTGCACATGTGTTACTTCTATACACTACATGTGAGCGTTCACCTCAGCATGATCCTATTGAACTGGCGATGTCACCTTTCTACAAATGGAGAAGGTATGAGTCACTTAGTTAGGAGGTGATTATAATGTCTCACTGTGGTGATACTTTGCTGTGTAAGCCAATCGAACAGCCATTTTGAGTTTAAATACAGAACAGTATAGTATGTTTTCAAACTAGACTAAACTAGAAACGTAACTAGATATATGGATCAGGATACAAGTAGCAGGGGCTAGAAAAAGCAGTGGGATTGTGGGAAGTGTTTGCATTTGCCTGTTCATTCTGTTACAGTAACCTTACTGTCACTTTTCATTTGTTATACAAACTTGTTGTAACTTGTAAAGTGTCTGCTCAGCTAACCCGGACAAACATTTGTTTTGTAGCTGTGCAGCCAGCGGTCAATGATAATATTTGCATTTGACTTCCAGCTGCTAACTGCAGCCTGTTACTTTAGAAGAAATGTGTTTTATATTCAGTACCAATCACATGCAATCTGCATAATGATCCTGCTTTTTTAGAAGGGCATGAGCAGTTGCAGCTTGTTTGTAAACACAGGAAAATCTTAAAATACTCAGCAGTTATAGAGTCACTCATTAGTGTTCATGTCTGTGACTCTGTGGTTGTGTCCTGTGTTCCGGTGCCCAGAGGGGAGGGGGTGTCCTGCAGCTCCAGCCCTGGAGGAGTGGAGGGTCTGCAACGACCACCCTTGTATGATGCTGTATTGGGAGGCGTCAGCGTGGGGACCCTGTATTGAGGATTCCCCCATGGACCTCAATGGAACCAGCTTCCTGAACGGGACTCTCACCTGTGCCATGGGGGTTCAGATCCGCAAAGTCAGCTGCATAAAGACGAACGTTGGACCTGTCACAAGTAAAAGGTAAACTCTCTGACCTTAGCCAATTACTAATGTGGTATTGCAACAGAGTGGTGCATTGCAAGGGCTTCCCTGGACTAAAACACATTTAGTTATGGATATGGATTTTATAATATTGCAGAAAATAAGATCTGTGGCAAATAGAGATCTAACACAGTTTGTTCAGCAGGATAATCTCTACTAACACTTTTTGCGTAAATGCAACCCGACAGAATTAGATGTACCGTAATGCTATAAACACACTACATGGTGGTTGAATTACTTCTCATCAACACCGCTAAGCTAAAGGTGGACACGTGGTCTCCTTTTGACACTTAGCAACTTCCCTTTTTAAAGACACCTTCAAAAATTCCCAAGTGGGCTGTTTACTGACACGCTTTATTTCAAATGAGAAAAAGTATAAATCATATAACAAATTGTGTAAGCCTGTATTATTGCAGAGCCTGCCTTTGAGACAAAGCAGCCCAAAAATGCTACGATACTAACTCATTTCTGGGTTTAGGACTCATTCCTCCAGCAATGTATATGTTCTTCAATTCTATATGTTAGCATATTATCGAGTTTTTGCACATACAGTACGTTCAAACATGCAATGATTTTTTGAACGAGGTAAGATGCGTTTTCAGGGCAGCACTGTGTCTTTACAGCTTAATGTGGTGGGCATGTTTTTCAGGGTCTGTTGAGAGGTGAATCAATAACTTCTCACCTTTTTTTCTCCTTTTACCTTGGGATGGTGTTGAGCCGGTCTGCTCACACAGTGTTTGCATTACTGTAACACTTGACTTTTTCCTCGTCATCCTTTGTCACGACAAGCTTTGTGTCACTTCAGAACTAGTTGTTGTAAGCATTGAGAAGGTGTTCTTTTTTAAATATGTACTGATGGTAGATAAATGTAGTTTCAGCCCACCAACAATCAGTGTTTCCCTACTCTGAATAGAGCAGAGTTCAACAGATGTCTCCAAATCCCGAAAACATTGTCTTTTGCCAGATTGGCAACGGGACATTTTCTTCTTCTGTCCTTATATGACACAGCTACTTGTTTTAGATACTAGAAAATGCGTCCCGAGACAAACAAACGATAAATTATGAGTGAGGAGTAAAAGAGCTTTGTGAAATCTGAGGGAGGAGTTGAGATGTGATCATAGTTCTCTTCAAAGAAGAATCATTTATGATTTTAGTTTCAGAAGTGTCTCCCTTAAAGATATTGTGCGTGCTCTTACTTACTGACAAATGACCCAGAGGATTTGATGCACTGTGAAAACACATCCCCAGAGTTGTGTAGGTTTTCTGCCTGTGATTTCTTTGTGAACCTGAGATCCATTTTGCTTATGCTCCACCATTATCTACTCCTCTTTCAGCGATACAATATCAAAAACTGCTAAGGGCTTTTGTGCTGTCACTGTAATGATGTTAGAGCCCACACCAGGAAGATGGATTTATAAATAATTCACAAAGTTTGCCCTTCTTTAGCGCAATATATTATTGACAGGGCCGTAAAGTGGATTATGGAGAGGCTTTTTTCTTATGAACGTCCTATCTCCCAGCACAGAGGCTTTAATGAATGCTGTCAATTCTGCTCCACCAACACATCTCGCCTGTACAGTACACTGGGAAGTCAATCACTTCTTTGCTATTCATATATAACTGCAGAGTGTCCATTTAATGGAACAGCATCCGATGCATACATAAAATTCAGTCAGTTACACCGGAACAGGCCTTTCTGCTGTCTTTCCATAATGTGCAGTGTGAAGACATAATCAGGGTGTCCATATAGAACAGCATATATCTTGTATAACTTCCCACGCTTCATATGATAAGATAATTCTCCAGTTGACAGATACACTATGATAGCATGGACTGAAAAAGGACCACACAGGGATAAACAGGAGCGTTCAGACTCCGTCATTTCCAGTGCTTCATTCCTCCTTTATCTCAGAATATGTCTAAAATAATGTGTATAATTACTACCAAATACTTCCCATCAGAAGGAGATGGCTCCAGAATATATTGGATGTTTTGATACTTTAAAAGGGTCACTTCTGTCAGCAAACAAAGAAGCATTTCCTTCTTAGCAACAATCTCCATGGGCACACTGGCTCAATGAATTAGTGGGTCTATCTGGTTTTTAGTTTATAGCCCCCAGTCATCACATAATATACATTTTCAAATGTAATTTTTGCTCCCCTTTGTTTCAACAAAGTAATTAAAATAACTAACTATAGCTTTGGTTATAATAACATGTTGTATTTTGCATGGGTACTTATTGTACGGCTTTCTATGGCTGTGAACATAACTTTTTACATTTGATTAGATTAGTAAGGAAAAATCCTAAGAAACACATGTAATATTATTAATTGTGTATGTTAATTAATTGATGTGTAGATGCTGCTGTAAGTTTCTGTGTAAATTAAATTAAATTAGTATTAAACAAATGGTTAAAAAGACTCTTATGGCCACATTGGTGCCATAGTGTTTCATATGAATACACATATTTGTTTAACTTTTAAAGTAAAAAAGACATGCATTTGATAGAAATGTTGGACATAAAACTATTCATTGCTTTACTAATGCCCCTTTTTGATATTACACATTATAAGTTTCAGTGTTTACTCATTTTCCTTCATAATGAAATCGCTTTTTCCAAAAACTTTATATAAATGTGCATAATTAATCAGAATATCTTCTCATTGATTCAAATAAACATTTCAATGATTGACAACCTCACTTTTTGGGTAAAATAATACTGCAATGATAATTGTAACTGATAACATCAACGCTCATTGAACTTAAATTACCAGAAAAAAACATTATTATCAAACAATATCATTCTACACTGAACAAAAATATAAACGCAACACTTTTGTTTTTGCTCCCATTTTTCATGAGATGAACTCAAAGATCTAAAACATTTTCTATATACACAAAATAACCATTTCTCTCAAATGTTGTTCACAAATCTGAAAAAATCTGTGATAGTGAGCACTTCTCCTTTGCCGAGATAATCCATCCCACCTCACAGGTGTGGCATATCAAGATGCTGATTAGACAGCATGATTATTGCAAAGGTGTGCCTTAGGCTGGCCACAATAAAAGGCCACTCTGAAACGTGCAGTTTTGCTTTATTGGGGGGGTCTGGGGGGGTCCGAAAACTAGTCAGGTTTAACCCTAACCCTAACATGTCACCCATTGAGCATGTTTGGGATGCTCTGGATCAGCGTATACGACAGCGTGTTCCAGTTCCTGCCAACATCCAGCAACTTCGCACAGCCATTGAAGAGGAGTGGACCAACATTCCACAGGCCACAATCAACAACCTGATCAACTCTATGCGAAGTAGATGGGTGACATGTTAGGGTTAGGGTTTAACCCTAGGGTTTTCGGACCCCCCCAGACCCCCCCAATAAAGCAAAACTGCACGTTTCAGAGTGGCCTTTTATTGTGGCCAACCTAAGGCACACCTGTGCAATAATCATGCTGTCTAATCAGCATCTTGATATGCCACACCTGTGAGGTGGGATGGATTATCTCGGCAAAGGAGAAGTGCTCACTATCACAGATTTTTTCAGATTTGTGAACAATATTTGAGAGAAATGGTTATTTTGTGTATAGAGAAAATGTTTTACATCTTTGAGTTCATCTCATGAAAAATGGGAGCAAAAACAAAAGGGTTGCATTTATATTTTTGTTCAGTGTATATTCAAATATTTGAAGGCCAGGTTGTTCTTAAGTATATTCAGAGTATACAGAGCATATCACGTTGAGCTGGTATTTGATTGCATATATAATTATCATGACTTCCTGAGGGACATTTAATGTTCCCAACCTTGTCACAGTCAGACTGCACGGCCTCACTGTAGGTCTGACTCTCTTTCTTGGCGTTCTGCACAGTATTCCCCCAGCTGCTCCCCCTGCGTTCCCATGCCCTCTGGCATGCATCTCTGCAAAGAGGGAGAGAGAAGAAGAGGGATGAATCTGAGAAAGGATGGGGTGTATCATGCCTCCTTATGCTTTGGCATACTTTGATCTCATTCCCGTGCATGCTGGCTCTCTGCGGTTAGTGTGATGTGGCACCATGCTGGGCCTCTAGTGAGGCCTGGATCTAGTTGTCAGGGCAAAGAAAGTCATTCACTCTGAAACAAAATTGTGCTGTCTGTGTGTCGCTGTGCGTGTTCCTGTGTGTGTCTGTGTGTTGTTGGTGGGGATGTCTTCTGCTTGTTGATGAACCCATCAAAGCTCAAGATTGCGTTAATCCACACCTCCTCATGTTTGCACAACGTGCCAAATACAACACAGCCAAAAGCTCCATTACCTATATGGAACACAAGACATAGCAGCTTATAATAGAGAGGAAATACGTGATTATTTTCTATCTTGAGGCAAACAAATTGGTAGAGGTCTGGTAAGAGCTCTTTAAAACCTGGTTATGGTGTCCTTGGTATAGCAGGAGTGAGTCATTGGTAAACAGTTTGCATATCCTCACTTTTCTCAGGTTTAATTAGCAGCCGTGCTGTGGACGTTGATTGATTTTCCTCCCAGAACACTCTGTCTCCTTGGTGGCAGCAAAAGACTTCTGTGGCTGCGCTATGCGTGTATATGAAGAGATAAATGCACTCACCAGGTTTCCCCTACTTTAGCTGCACAAGTGGCATATTATCACATTAAGAAGTTTATATATGTTAGCAAATGAACTATTCCTGTATCTGACACAACAAAATGTGTTGGAAAATCTTCGTTCAACAAGGAAACATGCTGGCTTGGATTTGTGTTTACAATTGAGAACTATAATCAAGATCAGTTTTAATTTGAGATAAACCTTAGATACATCTCAAGTGTTTCTTACTGCTTGTATCAACCAGGGGATAATTCTCTATCAGTTTGTCCACAAGCCACACATTTTGTTCTTTGATCAATATAAAAATGTTTATGTGTGCACCCTTAAGATAACTTGGCTTTAAAAGTAAACAAATAATTTTAGTTGTGTGCTTGAATGGCGGGAGGATTTTTCTTTTCATAAGGCATTCTTTGTGCTCTGGTTATCAACTGAATGTGAGAGAAAGCTGCAATTTTTATATTTTTCTTCCTTTTTTTCCTGAGCGTGCAGGCAGGGGTGGGGGGGGGTGGCATGTCATCAATTATGTTTTCTGTGGGGAGATGTGTGATGTCAAGGACAGGGCAGTAGTTTCACTGCACTGTCCTGTTAACAGCGAGACCCAGGACATTTATCATTTATCGCCTGGGGAGTGAAAGGGATTTAAGACCTCTGTTTGTCTGCATGTTTAGGTGCTCAGATTCTGCTCGTCCACAAACCGTCCGGCCCTGTTTGCTCCCCTGCAAGACAGACTGCGTTGTTACACCCTTCAGCGAATGGACGGCCTGCCCATCAACCTGTATGCCAGGTAGCTCTCCTCATGCATTTATATGAACTCCTTTTGGTAATGCCTGTCTAACACAACAACAACACTTTTACACAAATGACTCTTCTATTCTAATATAAAAGTCCTCCTATAATTATTGGTAAGTATTGAAATGTTTTGAAAAAGGTTTTGTTTGTTCTTACTTCACACAAATGCTCTAGTTTTTCAAATTAAGCTTTCAGATCTGATATATGATGACGTTATCACTCTAAAATAATTGAAAGAAAAAAATGTATTCTTGTTAAATTGTGATCTTATACATTTGATTTATGGTGTTGTTAAATTGCTTCTAGACTGCACCATAAATACAGGTTATCTCTCTTTGTGTGTGACAAGCAGTGGAGCATTTTGTTTTTTGATCATGGTAAAAATGATGTTTACACCAGGGAATATGGATTGAAGCTGAAAATGTTGTCACATAAACAAATGTTGTAGTTTTTAGCATCATTATGTATTTTTATGAATCGATTTGTTACGGTTTGGGAAAGGTAGGACCCAAAAGTAGACTACAAAAAAAAGGTAAGTTGTTCTAGAAAACAAAAGCAAGCTTTATTTTAAAACATGGCAAAAAAAAACACAAAGGAAGCACAATACAAACAAGCTGAGGGAGACAGGAAAAACAAACAATGAACCAACACCGAACACAGGAGACTAAATACAGGGAGGGGTAATCACGAGACGAAAAACAGCCGGGCAGGGAAGGAGAAACACAAGGGCAACAGGTGAACACAATCAGACACTCCAGGGAAACTAACGACAGGGAGGAAAACAAATGGAGAAGGACCAGACAAGAAACAAGGAGGAAAACATGAGACAGGGAGAACAGAACAGCAAAATAACCCCAAAACTAGACACAAAACTCAAACCCTGACACGATTATGACGTTTGAACTTCACAACACTCTTGGATTTATTGAAAATGGAGTCAGAAACATTCTGAAACAGCCTCCAGTGGAATTTAGTCCTAAACATTTACAGTGTACAAATAGCATTAGTGTAGCCTCATGACCTGTGAAGACACACAGGGTTTAAACTGAATGAATAGAGAAGGAGAATTAAATGTTGATTCATACATTTGGGTTTCATTGTAATTAATGAAGCTTCAAACTATTGGGTATGGCCCTGGTAAATATAGTGTACTTCAAAATAGAGTAAATCAAAACCTAGGTGTACTGTTAATAGCACAACAACAATTACATATAGTTACATACTGGTATGTTACTAAATATTAGAGCTAAAAATAGTATGATTATGTATCAGTAAATTGATACAATAGCGATGGCTTACAATTGATTGACTGATTTATTCCAAAATTAAAAATATATATGTTTTCCTAATAAAACTAAAAATACTATTTAGCTCAAACAATTGATGAAGAAATTAAAAAAGTAATAGGCATACTAATCTAACATGAAAATAATAGTAAGTTATTCAGCATATACTTACATTTGTTGTGAATATGAGGCAAGCATTATCAAGTATTTAAATGCCGCTTTACAAATATGCTCTCCCTCGACGTCTCCAGTGTGTTCAATAATCACATTTAAGTGTAAATGACAATGTTAACTGTCCATTACATTAAGCCGACACATGAAGAGGAAAATGTATTTTTAATGGGTTTCAATATGTGTACTGTAAGTATCATGGAAATAAAATAAAAAAGGTTTAATTGTTTTTAATAATAATAAGAATTGAGCAGGCATCTCGTCTCTGTAAATATGCTCTAGTCCATTGGGTGCGCTGATGATGTAATCACTCTCTTAATTGCACCATTTTCAATGTTTAGTAATTAGCATTGTGTAATGAGCCTTGGAGCATGAGCCAAATGAAGCCATTACATTGTGTCCAAAAACAGACCGCAGTGAAGTGGAGGACATCACAGAAGCAGGGCCAGATAATAATCCAACTTTAAGACCTTACACTGCACTGCTGATGTTGTGTCGCCATTTATATAGTGTCCCAAACAACACAAGTCAGCCTTTTAGTCTCATTCCTTTCTCTTCCTCCTGGAAAACATTCATTTGAATGCAACTGTGCAACTACTCTGCCACCTGATGCAGCCTTTTTGTGAAGATTGTGTTCCACGTTCAACAGGAAATGACACTGCTGCTACACAGTCTCGATACAGGACCATCATTCAGAGGTCTGCTAATGGAGGTCAAGAGTGCCCAGACACACTGTATGAGGAGAGAGAGTGTGAATCGCTTCCTGTGTGTCCGGACTATAGGTAAAAGCACTGTTTAAACCGTTTTTCTTTCCTATCCAAGGATAAGTTTGTCTGCTGTATAATAGTATAACTGCAACTCAAGGTTGTTTTTGATGGATACTTTAGCTTTTGACATACATTATCTCACAGCTTATAGTGTAACGTAACTACTATTAAACATTGCTGCATATTTGTGCTTGTTCAGAAAAATGGTCAGATAGAAACGCATCAATTTCGGAAACCTTTCAACATAACATCATCATCTTTAAATCACACCTATTAGGAAAGGAATTGAATGACAGCTGTGATGAAAAAGCAAAAGACCGTTGTTTTGGTTTAAAACTATAGTAAAATAATATGTATGTGGCATATTGGTTAAAATATGGAAATCTAAATAAAACTGAAATGATAGGCTAACAACACCCAACAGCGACTGAAAATTACATTTCTATAAAAAGCTGTCATATTTGATGTTGGAATGGGACTCCTTTAGATATCTATGTTTAACTTTGAGGGATTATATAATACTGATGAATTTATGAGTATTTGTATTTTACTGCTTTACACATTTAGGGTTGTGCTAACACAATATATTGTTTGTTAATTAGATCTACAGGAATACATTATATTATTTAGGATTATCATATGTTTATAAAGTGTTGTTGTTTTCTGTGAGAAGCATGTATCTTTCATGAGTTCAAAAAGACTAACCTGTTTTTAAACTTTGTGAATATGCATATCCAGCTGATCCAAAATGGGTTTTACACTTTAATAAGTGGGACAGTGTTCTCAACACACAAAGGAACACTTTATCCTTGTAAATATTCAGATTCAACTCTTCTGCACACGAGTCCTGATTTTTAAATGGACAGTGTGGGATTCAAAACTCAAATCTTTCCAGCTGTCAAAGTGGAACAATGCATGTCATGAAGATGCCTTTCTAGATTGTTAATAATGACTTTCAATCATCAAATTATAATAAGGAGTTTATAAAAATATGTTTTAAAGTTTGAATGTATTACCAATAGTATCCATCAGCTCATTTTATTCCTGGCAGTGAAATTGAAAAGACATTCAAGTAGAGTAATACCAAAATGTATCACACCTTTTCCTCCGGATAACCAATTACGTTCACACACAGTGTGGCTCACACACATTGCAACATTTTTTTCATTTATTGCACCATCAGTGATGACACATGGCAGTTTTCCCTGCCTATTTAAAGGTTGCACTGCATGAATGTGGTGCAGATCAATAATTATAAACCAAAATAAACATAACAAGATTGGGCCATCCTTTACTTGCAGTGTAAATGAAGCTCCAAAATTAGCCCACTGTCAACCCACAGTCTGTCTGTTTCCGTGCAGTTGGAGAACACACAAGTGGCACAGCTGCAGTTTGGTTCCCGAGTCTGTTCGCCGTGGATTGTCTGGACCGGCAGAAGCCTGTGGAAATGGTCTGGAAACAAGAGGCGAGTGTTTTTCTCTTCTCTGCTATCATGCTCTGTACACTTGTCAGCCGCTGCCATTTTAAGCCTTGCTCCTCCATCTATTTACTTTCCTTATTTAATGAGACCTAATAGCCCTTTTCAGAACTGCTCCTTTTAACAAGCAAGTGATGGAAGCATAAAAGATGGAGGCAATTTGTCCAGAGAGTGTAACGAGATGAACCTTTCCGTCTGTTGTCTTGATGATCTCATCACGACTCAAGTTTCTTATTAATGAATGCAGCAAGTCAGATGGCTACAAGCACATCTTCGCAGCAGGTTGACAAAAAACAATCAGCCGTGTTACACACTAAACAAACCATACATACAGACGTGGAGAAGTACTCACGCAATAAACTTTAGGAAATTGCATACAATAGTGCTCTTCCAATCGAGGCTTTTTATGAAATGATGAATATTTGCTGCACGGTTTCAGATTCTAGTGTCATAAAGTCGCAAATTAGCAATAAAATAACCTCTCAGTGAACACAATCCATTAATAATGTAACAGGATGAGAACAAAGCTGTAAACATGCATTATTCCTAATTAACAGAAAGAAGGTTTGTGACTTGTAAACGGTGGTAAGTGAACCTTGCTTCACCCAAAATGGATGCAAATCATTTTCTGTCAAACATTTCTACGCACCCACGTGCATTTTCCCAGCAAAATATGGGCACATAGACATGCATTAGTAAATTGCCACTTATTTTGTGGATTTAATTGCCTGTAGTTTCTTACCGTTGTCCAGCTGGACGCCTACATTATTTTAGCTTGCTGCGCCTGGAACTTTATTTGCGTCCACCTGGATACATTGTTTTCATATGTCTTGTCTATGTTGTAATTGTACTATGTTTTTGTAACCTCTGTACACACATCTGTGTCAATCCTGGGAGAAAGATTGCGCAAAAGTCGCTCTCCCTGTTGTTTCTTACATGTTTTCCCATTAATTATGAGGTTGGAATCTTTCCTTGTCAGCATAAAGGGTCAAAGTACAAACAACCAGTGGTGGAAAGTGTTCAGATGTTTTACTTGAGAAAAAGAACTACAACCACACTGTAAAAATGTTCATTTTCAAGTACTGCATCAAAAATAGTACATAAGTAAAAGTATGATTAGGAAAATTGACATGACATATGACATATTTTTGAACAAAGAACGTATAGATTCCAATACATTTTTTTTCACCTTGTCATGCTTTAGTTACTCTACTTAAATATAATGATGTATGGTATACATTTCAAGTTTTTTTGTGGTTATCTTACACATGTTCTTAGTGATTGTGGACTGTAAAGATAACAATCTGCAATAGAACTCACTGGTTGTACGTGTACATTGCTGTACAATGCTTTGTATACAACATAAATACACACGGTGGAAACATATTATGAATTTGATTTCTTGGTACTTTTTCAGATGCACCCGTATACCTCACTTGAAACAAGCTATTTCCAGGAAAACAAAGCTACAAGATAATTGCAAGTTTATTTTTACTTGCTGACATTTAACTATTTCGTAAAACAGTTGCCTACGACATGGTTCCTGCTGAATGCAAAATACATGTTTTTGCATTGGGGGAAATGTTTCTCTTTTGTTATACAACTGATAATGATGTGCTGTTGCTGTTTGTCTGCAGTAGCCCCCATATTGCCTGAACTACATTACAATCATTACTGTTGGCATGATGCAGTATAATGAGTATTCTCCAGTACTGTATCCCTGTGATTAACACCCCTGATTGAGTGTGCTCTGTGAGTGTTTGCTGTGTTGAGCGTCTTTTGGACTCTGCAGATAACTGCTCACTGTCCTTCAAAAAGAACTGCGTTTTTTTCTGAGTGGAGTTGGCAAATCGTTAAAGCACTAGAGTGTTAATTGGATCATTTCAGACTCGTTTAGTGGAGAGCAAAATGTCCCAATAAATCCCAGAAACTGGCTGTTCTATCTAAATTACTGGTGTGATTCAAGGGGAGTTTCCAGGAGCTGACTTTGCTGCCTTGAGAACTTTCTAGCATTTCGGTTTTCACTTTAACCTGGCAGTATAAATATCACTGACATTTCTCGAGTGAATTTCTATGACTTTTGAGTGAGGAGGGGGAAAGTGTATGTAGTGTTCAGGTTAGGAGCATGCCTCGTTGACCTTTAAAGCTTCCTATTTGAATATGATTAGAAAATGACTTAGTTAAATACCTGTGACATTTCAAAAACTGAAGCATGGGTTTGGAATTTGCAGGCAGTAGAAACACTGGATATAAATATAGATTTGAAGCAAAAAAGATTGTATCTAGGGTTTTCTTTTACTCAGTGGATGGCTGAACCAACTCAATGCAAAATAACATATAAATGCCAAATTGGAGCATAATTAGGACACAGCTGCTCGGAATATGGCCATATTCGGGGAATAAGCAAATTGGATAAGGGCATATCAAAGATTTAATGACAGCAAGTTATAGCAGGGGTTTCTCATTGTGTTTTCAAGGAGATTTGATTACGATGCCCTAAGAGAGCTCTTTATATCCTCTATCCACCCACACTCAGAATATATAATACAATCTAATTTAGATAATTCTACTACTGATGACATTGTACAGCTTTTGTTGTGTTCATGTAATTACTCTTTCAGGTTGCATGTTATGAAGTCCAATGTCACATTATGCGTTATTCCCTTTTGGAGCGCCTCTTTGCTTCTCTGTTTTGCTGCTTGCAATTCAGATTTCCTTTACATAAATCTCACTAACACTCATAATATTCAACAATGTTATTTTCCATGCAGTTCATATTCACTTTAGTTCTAGTATTAGTATTCACATCCTGTGGGAAGTGTGTGCGAGATGGTATCTACTTCAGATATCTCTCTTCATTGAAAAAGCTGCATTTGAAAAAGCAGGTTGTGCTGCATTATCGAGTCAGACATTCGTCCTGGAACGCTAAATAGGCCACCTTCTCCTCTGCATTTTCTTCAGCAGCATCTCGTGGTGACTAATGTCTAAGAAATCTTTCAACTAAAACCTACATGTCTTATACGTCATATTAGCCATAGATAAATACATTTTATATATTTAGCAAAGAGTCAGTGGTGCTTTTATATCCGGCGTACTTTATTACTCATTATTAAGATATATTTTCCTAATAAAAAATGTATTAAAATAATCAATAAAGCATTTATTAAATGATAATTGATCCCATCTCTCTCTAAAGTTCTGCACGGTATTGATAATGCATGAATGTAGAATATAGGAGCTTTAAGATGACTTGTTATATGAATTAAACATTTACAAGTGTTTATAGCTACACCATTTCAACATATTAGCAAACCCAATGATCTTTATCCTATCCTTAAGCGTTTCATTGGAAAGCGCGAAAAAGATGTATTCCTAACTACAAGAGAATATATTTTTTGGTCAAACTAAACTGTCTTTTGGTCAAACAGAAAATGGATGTTTTTGCTGCCTGTCTGCTTCGACATTTGCTGCAGCTCTGTGTATAACTTCTGAGACAGGCTGATTCAGAAGTTTCCAGACACTCAGTTTCCCGAGATTTCTTTAAGACCATCTTATCAGCTCCTGCCTTTGTACGGAGTTACACAACCCAAGATAACTTCAAACTTTTCCAAAAGTTATAACATTTTCAGCTCACCTTATTGCTCAAAGGATGTACGCATTATCCTTTTACCTATTTTTTGCATTCATCCTTCCTCAAAATATCTCTGGAAAACAGCATTTCATCTGCGTTGGAAAGATAACCAAGGATCTATGAAGTAACAAGTTCGCTATACAAAATTGAAATTCTAGGTATCTAGTCTTGCAACCGGCTGAGTTTAGGAAGTCTGTTTCTGAGGGGAAATAAAGAGTGCACCGCCTTGTAACAATGTCACATTACGTTGCTAAAACTGTTGTGGATCCAGTACCTTAACACACAGGACATTAAAACATAACACAATATAAACAGAGTCACAGTTAATTGAAGTTAAAACGTTTGTTGTTTTAAAACAGTAAGAGATAGAATTATTGCTCTCTACAGCCAAGAGAGAATCGTACAGCTTTTATACAGTGTGGCCACAACATTTGGACCATCAATGGTTACATGTACGATGTATCCTTCTTCAGCAGCGAAAAGAGAGACGGACTTGGTACAAATGTAAACAACAGTAAGGCTTACAACATAAAATAATGCTGCTGGATGCAGTTGGTGCAGCATGGAAACAGCACTGAGTAATTGCATTGCTTCAAATGACTGCATTCACTAGTTGGACACCCAAAATAGGCTACATTTTATTTTAATTACAAGTATACCTATGTGTTTTGCATCATCAGTGACATTCTGGCTGAACTAACATAACTGTGAGGCAGAACCAGGCACACAGCCACTGCTGACATCTGTGTTATTTGTCTTGAGGTAAGCATCACTCTTGGTGCCAGGTTGGCTTCCCTGGGAGGATTACTGTACGGGAGCGTTGGTTGGAAATTGGACTCTTTATAAGAAACATTACACTGCCCTGGGAAACAGTTACTGATGATGAAACATTCAAATAGCAGTTACAGAACAGTTCAGTTAGCAACCAGGGATCTACAGCACAGTCTGTCAGACCGCTGGACGTTGGCTCAGGCATGTACTGTAAGGTTAGAATCTGGGCCAAGTTTCAGCACACAATTGGTTTTGTGCTTTACAAAGCCAAAATGCCCTTGGCTTGAGTGAACGCTTCCTCCCAATGTCTGGCCCCTTGTCGGATACAGGCCTGCATGTTGAATGAATGCAAATGTCTGAACCAAGTGAGGTGAGGGTTGCTGTACAAACGGTGATCCGACACGCTGGAGGTCACAGATAAGAGCTGTTACTAAATAAGATAAGATTTGAGAAGATGAGAGAAGAACATCTTCCGCTAAATGCAACCGGCTAGGAAATGCTGTATTATGTTACAGCTGATACCTTGGAGTGAGCGATGAGCCAATGGATTTTAAAATAACTACCCTCCGCTGTGACTGCATTCGGCCAACTTGTGGCTCGTAACTAGCTGGATGTGTTGTATCACTCCCTGAGCCGCAATCAAACTGTTTTGAGCAGTGATTCCCTAGAAAATGAGTCATGGTGATGATCTTCTGCTACAGGGAAAAAGGAGAGTTAATGGGTATGATGAATCCACATCGCTCCTCACAAGGCATTACATAGAAAAACATTATACAAGCAGTCCGTCTTTAACATAAAGAATATCTTATGGCAGGGTTTTTTAAGTGGATTCGAAAAGGTTGTCTTTAAAATAATGATAGAACATTTTCTGAGTCAGATTGATAAAAGCTTTCAGTTGAAACAACCCATTATTAAATACAATAATATAAATATAAAATCAAAAGGATGTGCTCAAAGTCTACAACATTATCCAGGAAAGTGTCGAGCCGCTTCAAAGCTTGTCCTTTCAACCAACCCTCAAAAGTGTTCACCTTTTCTCAGTTGCTGTATAATTAAAGATGATCCCTGTCAGTGGCGGCATACTGTGACATCAATTGTTACCATTTGTGAGAGGAGATGGTGAAAAGCCACAAAAATGGGCTTTGGTTGAAATAAACATGTTAAAAATGGATGGCTCTGGTTTCAAAATCAAAATGTCAGTACTTGGCTTTGCTTATAAAACAAATTGGGGTAGACACTTTCACTGGTGGATGAGCAAAAACACTATTTAAGCCAAATAGACAAAAGGAAATACCAATATGGACGTGAAACGATTCCTACAGTAGTGGTTATTGGACTTATACTCTATCAGCTTTGTATCAAACAGGTGTGTCTAATCGAAAGTAAGATTCACCTTTGATCGGTCATTATAGTATCATCGCTCTAACCTGTACATCTCAAAATAAAAGGTTGTTTTTTTACCGCTGTGATTGCAGCTGTTACATAAAGGCACTTTAGTGAAGCTATCAGCTCCCATGCAATACCTTTGTGGAGACCTTGTATGTAAATGACCATCCCACACATCCTCGACAGACATGTAGAAAACCCAACCGTTTTTGTCAGAGGGCAATATTTGAAAGTCAAATAGAAATCAATGGAATGGATGTTTGAAGGCATTTTTGTGTATCAGTGGATCCGCAGAGACGTTGGGGGGGAGGAGAAGTTTCCTTTACTGGGAAAAGTTTCTTCTTTAAATCCCAGTGTCCATGAGACAGCAATGTTTTGAACATTGTTTTATCCTTTGTCGTGCTCTAATTAAAATGTTTAAGGAAGCTACAATCCAAAATAACATGCTGCTCCTTCCTCTCTCTCTTTAGCCAGCATCCAAACAACTACTCATTTTGTTTTCTTCTTTATTTAATTGATGTTAATGAACTCATTACAGATGTATCACTGCTAAGGTTCCTCATGTATGCTGCTTCCCTCTAAGCCAGGGCTGAGCTACTGTTATAATAATCACTGCAAACATTAATGCCAGGTTAAATGCAGGCTCGGGTATCAGTGTTGGAAATTAGGAGAGTTATTACTTTCCCACCTTGTAGGTCTACTGATCATTGTAATTCAAATTATCTTGGGAGTGTTTCAATTAGGTTTCCCACTTGATTTACATTATTACCATGACTATTCACATCCTGAAAACACATGTGATTAGTTTATTCTTATGAGCCATACTTCAAGAAATGTAAATGTACTGCTTGGACCACAGCATCCCCTCTGTAGAGTAGATGCTTTGATAAACCTGTAAACTTCTTTATCTAACTATGATATACAGCCCACATGCATTATTGAGCCGTAGTCCAATAGTATCAGCATTTGAGAGAGCAAATGGAAGGTTATGCTTGATAGACAGTTGGATATATAATGTGATCCAGAACAAATAGTGTGTTTTGCTCAATATCCTGCCATATAAACAGCAAAAATGGCAATGCAAAGACAAATAAAAACGTCTACATCTCTAAAATATTGACGCTTCCATCCCTGAGAAGATATTTACCAGTTTGATTCTAAAACACCTGTATTTTGAAAGTTTTTGCCACCGATTAGATCATTCTTTTTGGAGTGACATGTTAATTTTTTTGTAAAATAGGAGACTTGAAGTTAAGGCTTTGTGTTTTACAGTGGATATATTATTTTTGAAGTATTTTCATATACCTACCTTAAATTTGTAAAACTGCATAATGTTATTTTTTTCTTAACTACATGAACCTTTCTGGCAGAGTGGCCTTGCTTCTTTAAAAATGTTGAGTATGCAAAGAAAAAATCTAAAATGTGTTCAATTGAATATTTTCCAAACTCATCAAAAGCAACCGCATTGGACTGCTTTCAGTTGATTTAGTGTGTTTCATTATAGTAGTATTTCAAAAATAAATAATAACCCATCTGCTCGTACTGTGTTCTCCAAGTGATTATTCTTAGCACACAGAGGAACATATTGCTGCTGCAACACTCGGTTGTGATGTCTTTATCCCTCTTTGATTAAATACCAATACTCTGATCAGAAGGTGTATACATAATTCTGTCAGAAGTATTTAGCATTCAGGTTAATCGAGTATCATGAATACATTGTGTTTACTCAATAAATCATAATTGGCACAACATGTTGTGCTTAAAGGTTGAATTTCACTAGATCTTAACATTAAAGCAGAAAGCTATGAATTATACAATAGCAACTCTGTCTTCCTTTGTGAGACCATTCAACCTAACATAAAGAACTGAATACACCTGCCCCTCCCATTTTCTGCTCAATCAAACCGTGAAGATAAATGTGTCCTTCAATCAAGCTTATCCTAGCCAGAAAACGGATATGTCGGAAAATGTAGAACCCCACGGCTGATTGTGATGTGATCTTTTTTGTGTGTAATTGGAATGACATTGTTGCTTTCATCTATGTTTTCAGGAATCAGTTGTGTAGAGGAGAGCGGTGAGTCGGCCAACATGACAGACTGCCTGCGATGGGCCGGCCCCCTCCCCCCCCAGATCAGAGGTTGCCGGATAACTTGCAAGGATGACTGCACTCTAACTGCTTGGTCCAAGTTTTCTGAATGCGCTGGGTGTGGCAGCTCCCGCAGTCGCAAGCGTTCACTCACAGGTAAAGACTTTTCTTCATAGATATGTCTCAAGGCAACTTTGGATTGGAGATTGGATTCTTAGCTCATGCATTCTCACACTGTAAAACCTCAGTCCATATTTTAACGCTGGATATCTGTTGCTGTTTATATTTCTCTACCTCTCCATCAGCCAGTGTCATTGATCTACTACAACCTTGTAGCTTGCACCACAGTTGGAAACAGAAAGTAGTCACCTTGTACAGTCAGTCCAAGAGAAACGCGTCTACATTCCTTGATCTTCAGGGTTGTTGTCATGGCAGCATATTCTCGTGCGCTTGAAACCACTTGCTCTTTGACAGGCATACATGCAGTACTGCAATCCAGCCAAGCCTCTTTCTGGTTCTTGTTCTGTTACTATAACTTCCTACTGTCCCTGTTGTGTTATGTCTGGTCTAAATTAGGTCCCTCACAGCGTGTAATCCCTTATTCCAGTGCAGATGGCAAAATAAGAATTACATGCTGTGGTTGCAGACCAGGCTGGATACTATTTGTCTTCATGAATATTTGATCTGATGCTGGAGGGGTTGTAGTAAACACATACTGTCTCCTTCTATAAGAATCGTAGAATATAGCACGTGAAATCAGCCTGGAGCTCTGCGGTGGGCTTCATTTGGGAAAGAGCGTGTGTTCGTGTTCAGCGTGTCCTTATGGTCATTATAGCTCTGCTTTCAAACTCTTCACTGCCCACTTTAACACTTGCTTTAATTTCTCTGTCAGGTGATGGAAAGTGAAACCACTGTGGGTTTTAAGCTTAAGTGTGTGGTTAAGAAAGTTGTCAACCAACACATCTGCTTGCATAATACAGCCATGTTTAAAGCATCCTTAGGCCATATTGCAGTAATCATCGTAATTTTCCAAAAGATAGTTTAAGGAAATGCTCTTCATGGCAGTGTATGTCTCTTTTTTCTATGTTGGACCCAACAACATTCACACATAAAGAATGGGTTAATGCTTCAGTATAACCCTAACCCTATCAAAGTAGCCCTGTTACGAATACAATAAAATGGAGGTTGGATAGTGGCAAGATGCTCATGCAGGAAAAGGTACAAAGGACACAATGAATACATCTAATTTGTTTCTCCAGTGTCATTTTTGTTTTGTCACAATTCACCAGCCCCCATCGTATCTTGCCACTTATCACCCATAACACAGCGTGTTTACAAGCTAAACTAATTGAGAGCTTGAAAGGACAAAGACATAAAATGAGCAGCCGTGCCTCAGCACATTGTAACTGTTTACTGTTTTGTCAGCTTCAGACATCCCAAACCTCCTTTGCACTCACAAACACACATTTAATGGATTTGTACCTTGGCTTGTTAAGATGACGTTGATGTTTACTATCTCACTCAGAAAACCATGTGATTGCTTGACTTTTGGTAGAGTTTTGCTATCTGTTTGACTGGTTTTCCTTCTGATCATCAGACCACTTTGTCAGTCACTTGAACTGGAGCATGCATACTGGGCCATTCACATGAAAAGGAGCATAGCTGTACATCTTATGTGTATCCATATTAAAGGTCCCATGTCATGCTTTTCTGGCAAAGTCACAAACCCTCACTGCTAGTGGAGCCTCGCAGATGGGGGTGCTGCAGCCCCCTCAGCACCCCCCCTTCCCGCGTCCATGGTGCTCAGGCTGATATCAGGGTGAGTTTCGCGATGTCTCGCTGTCTCGCAGCCCCCATGCAGCAACCAGGAAACGGCAGCGAGCCGCGCAACGTCCCGCCAACACAGCACCCAGACCCCACGCAGCATTCTCATCTGTTTGTCATTACTGGTGTCATTTTCTGTTTGCTAACGCCATTGTAACACATAATCACTGATGTTCCGCTGTAACGGTGGTGGACTCATCAGAACAGAGTGGGCGAGCTGACCAATCAGAGCACAGTGGGTTCATAGGGGGGGGGGGGGGTGTTTAGGACAGAGATTGAATACACATACTATACAGAGATGCTGTATGAGAAACCAATGTGAGTTTGGAAAATTGCACAATATACATCTATTGTAGTAGACCTCAACAATGGAATTATGATCAGTAGACATGGCCATGACTTTAAAACAGCATTATAGGTGGTTTAGGAATGTTCTGGAGTCCAAAGAGGAGTCTTTTTCAAAAGCATCTTTATCCTGTGGGGGTTTCCTCTAAAGTCCAAATAAATTCAAATTAGGTGAAGTGAATATTTCTATATCGCCTATAGGTGTGAATATGTACTGTCGCCTATTTCTCAATGTGTGCTTCGTTACTGCATAGTAGCTGTGTTATGGCTTATCCTTTTGCTTTATATTTAATCAGTAGACTGGTCTGAGGTGCATTTTGCTCTCTTGCTTGTTGATGATTGAATCCTCAGATACACTCCTAAACTACTTGAACCAATGTTTTCGGCGGCCTCTGTTTCTCTTTTTCTCCCTCCCCGAAGCGAGCGTGTGGTCCTGCTGTAAAAGCATACGACCAAATGAGCCGATTGTTCAGGCCCTTATTACGACCAAATATGTCGTTTGTTCAAGCGCTTAATACGTCCTATAATTACATTTTAAGTTTTCGCCCTCTCGTGCTCCCGTTGAATGATAACGTTACAGATGGTGGTTATTCACAAATAACCCTCTCTGTAAAATCCTAAATTGTAGGATAGTTTGGCCATTAAAATGCTTTTTGATTAGATTTCTAGCAAGAAGTGTATATTGTACTTTTAGAATCCACGTCCAGTCGATCTGTAGGATCTATAGTTTGAAAGATATTANTACGACCAAATGGGCCGATTGTTCGGGCTCTTATTACGACCAAATATGTTGTTTGTTCAAAAGCTTAATATTTCCGGTCTTGGACGTTTTCATAATAAAACCAATGATCAAATGATTTAACAGTGATATCTGCAGTACTCATCAACTAAAAAACATCAGTTTATCCTTGTTAATTATACAACATTTATTGGTTTAAAATGTGTACAATGCTTTTGTGTTTTTCCCATAGGTTTTTCTCTTTTGATTCTGAGACACCTTTCTTTTTTCAGAGGTTTTGATAGGCTAAAACATCAATTGTTTTAGCCGCCCGCAATGCATTTTGGGATATGGTGTTTATATGATATGAAATCGGAAAAACATTTAAAAAAAATAAAATAACGCTTTATTCTGAGTGCTCTTTGGAAGTGATCACATAACAGCATTGTAATACACGGTTCGGCTGCATTAAATATTACATATCTGCCGTAGATATTTATTTATAGAGCCCTGATCAGAAGACCTTTTCACAAACTGTAAGAAATGCCGCCAAAACTGAATATGTGACGTGGATCATAAATATATTCGCAATTAAACAACATCTTCCATTTCTTTTCACACAATACGTCTCCTTGCAGTATCAACGCTAATTTGCCTGACTTTTATATTTGATCCAATTGGTAGATAGGCTATATTTACATCATAACGGTGCAAAGCTGATAGAAAGGGACTTTTTTGTAGTTTTTAAAGATATTATTTACTACCTGAGGGGGGCTGAAGCCGGGGGGGCTGGACCCGTCCAATTCCAGTTTTGGAAAGTCTGCCGTGGTTCCATTCCATTTCATAGAGCTGTGACGCTCAGCGTAACCTTGTCGCACTGCCACTCCAACATCCAATCACAGGGCTTGATGACTAGTCACAGGGCTTGTAAAGCAAGGCGGATGTTGTAGTCCCAAACGATAGCTGGGGATTCTGGGTAGTGTAGTGTCTTCGGAAACTGTAGTGTCTTAACTCCGAAAAAACTATTTTTTTCTCTGAATCGAAGGTTAAAAACAAAAAAGCATTGTACACAATTTAAACCAATCAATATTGTGTAATTAACAAGGATAAACTGATGTATTTTAGTGGATGAGTAATGCAGATATCACTGTGTAATCATTTGACAGTGAGGGGAATATATCCGGTTTTATTATGAAAACTTTGTGACCGGAAAAACTGTTTTCACCCACGCTAACTTTACATGGAAGCTGCATTGCATACACGTTATCCTGGCGAGACCTCAAATCATCTTCGTAATATCTATCAAACTATAAATCCTACACATCGACTGGACGTGGATTCTAAGAGTACAATACACACTTCTCGCCAGAAATCGAATCAAAAAGCATTTTAATGGCCAAACTATTCCACGATTGTGCAAAAGGCAGGTGCACTGCACCCACTGCCACTAACTCTGGGCCTGGCTCCCGGGCAGGACGTTCAATCTCCCCGGTAGTCCACCAGCAGATGAAAAACACCCACCTCTTTGCCTCTTCCAAGGGACGAGGGAACCGTGCGGCAGAGTTTCCGTTATAATTTTTAGAATATGTCCGTTAAAGTTTAAATCTCCCGGACAAAATTAGAAAAGTGCCGGTCAAAGATCTTCTTTGTTATTTATTGAGCTTTAAAACAAATTAATAACGACTCTATATAATAATATAAGAATAATACAAGGAGCCTCTCTTTTCCTCCCCCTCTCCTGACAGCCCATCAGTATCCGTCTCATGCAGCTGGCTGATCCAGTAATGAGTGACCCGAGGTAATTAAAATAGCTAAGTTTGATGATCTAACTTCAAGTGGGTGTTTTGCTCAGCTCACCGCTCCATCACAGCGGGTGGAGCTGCAGGTGATCATGCAGAGCTGTGTGTCTCTGTCAGCAGCAGCTGATCTTTGATCTCTCTCTCCTGTCCGATTAGACTTCACTCGCGTTTATGTCCATATCGATCAAATCTAGCTAGTTCTAGCTAATGATATGAC